AAAAGAGGTGCATTTTGTTTTATGCATAGCTGCATGCTAATTTTTGAAAATATGGAAACCAGAGGTTCTGTGAAGCACTGTGGAAAATTTATATCAAATGCAAAAAAAAATATTATTGTTAAATATCTCTAACTTTAGTAGATTTGATAATCATGAGGAAGATTGATGGCTAAGTGTGAACAGACACACTTCCAAATGTGGGGGAAAAAATTCCAACTGTGACAAAGCCAGTTCAATTCAAGTTTATTCTTAGATGCTTAAGTTAACACATGAATTCAACCTCAGTACATTAATTTGTGATACTTAAAAATAGTTAATGTGTTTTGTTTTATTTGCTATTTGGCTGAGCAGATGGTAATGGTTTTGACACAATTCAGTTTTTTATTTTTCTTCTTTTCTTTTCTTGAAAAAGACAAGGCTCTTTTTCCCACTTTGTCACAGCTGGTTACCAATCAATCTCAATTCACAGTACAGTGATGATAGCACATGTTGTTCAGGGGCCAAATCTGATTGGGTTGCATTTTCAGCAGTGTTTCATATCAAAAAAAAATTGTGTCTGTATGGCAGTGACTGTCAGCACACTATTGTACAACTGTCATTAATCAGAACTAGCAACAATGAATGCATTCATATGTGCCAGAGACTGCCAGATTTCACTCAAAATCACCCAATTTCTATTAGAATTTCCTCACCAGCAGTGTTTTCTCATGTGCCTCTTGTTTCTCTCTTTCTTTTTTCCTTGCCAGTCCCCTGCCAGCCGCTTCCTTTTCGCTTAATTAAAGGCAGACCGGCTCTATTACTTGCAGAACAAAATTATGCAACGTGGTGCCCAAAAGTGGCTGGTTTATATCTGGCACAGACTGACTGACTGTTTAAAAAACCTCTCCCAGCTCAGTCTGATGGCTGAAGTCTAAGCTGAACAGAAAGGTTAAGCACCTCCGAATGTTTAACAGAGAAGTATTTAAAATCAATTTGATGTCCATAAACACATGAAACTGATGTCTGATGCCCTGTGGTTTTAGTTCAATGCTGCATTAATTGGCTAGGAGTCAGCAATATTTGGGCAATATGTCACAAGTTGTTTCATGACAGTGCACATATTTTGAAGACATGGCCTTCTTCATGTAGTGGCAACGTAAAGGAGAAACTTAACCACTGCACCCTGGTTTTCTGCCATTCCATTGTCAATCCAGGAGCCTGGTAAACACACTCTGTGATTGGTATTAGCAGAGAGGACCTTGATCCTCATTCTCAAGTGTTCAGAAGCACTAATCCAGATGAGAGTGAACTTCCACAGAAAATGAGGTGAAAACATCTTGCTATGGGGATTTGAGGCTCTAGGACAGAGAGGAGACAAGGCATTGTTCAAGGCTGAGCAGGTGGATGCTTGAGAAATTCAAAAGATGTTCAGTCTCCATACCTTGTTATTTTGTTTTTGTGCTGAGGGTCAGGATAAAAGCCAGTTTCCCTCTTTTCTCCTTCCTGTCTGCTTCATCTGCCAAAGCTCTTCACTGAACTGTGGTGACTTCTGGGGACAGTGCTAGTGGAACAGATGACTGACGGGCAGCATATCAGTACTGCAGGACAGCAGATGGTTCTAACACCCCACGGGTCCAGCCACGTATGAATCTAATTGCTAGATGGCAAGTTCTGTCAGGGTGGTCCAAAAGTATGGCCTGTTGGAGAAGCAAAGCGGGAGAGATGAGCCTGTCCTTGAAGTAATTGTTAACTGGACCATGACAGTGACATGTTTACGCCACCCTCTGTTTGGTGACCCAAGTGGGAGCTGATGGCTGTAGCCACCACCCTGCGTCCTGGCATGCCATGCAGCTGGCTCCCCCGCCCAGCAGCCTTGGCACAGTGTGCAGGATTGGCAGGTGCAGGGATAAAGGCTGCCGGAGCCTGGAGGCAGCTGGCTGGCATGCCGGCACCAGCACATCCCTGACAGGAAGCAGAGTGAGTCAGCTGCAGCCCACAGCGTGCTGGAGCTCCCTGTCCCAGCCTGCCTGCATCCCAGTTCGGGCAGCCCCTCTCTCAGATATAGTCCTGCTGCCTGGCTGTTTGTTCTCGGCAGCATCAAGTGAAAAACAGGGATGTTATCTGTTGTAGTAAAAGAAAAAAAATATCAATTACATGTCAGAATCTGTGGCATTGATGATTCTGAGATTGTAGAAAGTCTCTGTCTTTCAGCCCCGCTGCCAAAGAAGAGCCATAATTCGTCTGTGCTGGTTTCAAGGTTGTTTATTCTGTTTATCTCTAACATGTTCTGCTGCCCTGCCACAGCTCTGTCCTGCAGGGCAGCGTGTGGGGCTCTGCCCTCAGTGGGATGTTACAAACATTAAATACCAGAAACTACCTGTGCTGTATTTACAATAACGTGCCAATATCTGTCACCTACGTTGGACAGTGTGTCCCCAGCCTAAACCAACAGAAAAATGCCAACACTGCAGTGAAACATGGAGGGCATGGAGAAGAAGAAAAAGAACAAGGCACACCCAATTTTCTCCATCTTGTCCCCTTTGAACCCTTAATCTAGAATCCTTAAAATTTTACTTTTGCACCCGTGTCACACTTAATTATTACTTATATCAAACACTCAGAGCTTGTAATTCATCCTGTAAGATTGAAAACTCTTTTCCATGGACAGAGATCACAGACAGTGTCTCTGGGGGCTCTGTACAGGGGGGTTCCTGACCCCCTGCCAGGGTCCCAGGCCTTCCAGGGCAGCCAGAGGGAAGCCCTGGATTTCCACAATTACACAGTTGGCTAATTGTTGCCCAGCTTAATAGCCCTGATTCTGATATTCAACTGATCTTAGTTTCCTTATCATACAGGAGCTGAATACAAATTTATATTTTCAGTCTCCTAGAGCTGGCCTCATGTCAAGAAAATAAGCATTCACTCTTGTCTGCAACTCTGCAATCACCAAAGACAAATAACTGCTCCATCGTTGTAGGATAATGTTGTCATATTCTTGAGATTTTTAAGGGGGACAATTTGCCCTTTCTGTCTTATGAAAACAGTGATTTTTGTTTGCCATTGACTAATGCAGCACAGCATGCAAAATGACATAATTTGTGAGCAGTCTAGAGGAAATGTTCTTTAGCTGCATGTGGCTGTTGAATGTAGTTGTAATAGATGTGTAGCTCTCCAGAAGGTGCATATTAAGTTCTCTAACATCATAACTACATGCCCCCTCACCACTACCAATGGCACTATGCTGGCAAAAAAAATTATTCTTACAGGTTTCTAAAGTTTGCTGTGATATCTATTTACTTACTCTTTCCCTTGGCATATTTCCTATTAATCAGTTAAATCTGAGGTACTGCATATACATACAATTAAATGTAACTCCCAAGGAAATGGATATTATATGTGTTTATGTTTACTTTAACAGAATGGTTAGCCTCAAAGACATCTTTATTAAATTATTTCTTGCTAATTGATAGAATGGACCTACTGAATATAGAAAGAAGTTGTATTGTGGTGAGTGTGAAAAGATTTCTTGACTGCTCTTTGTTCTTGAAATTGCTAGGAATGCTCTAATTTAGTTAGACCTAATAGAATTTTAAATGTTTCACTATATGGGATCCTTGAGTTAAGACGCTTTGAGTCTGTTAGCACATGGTGCTCTCTCTACAAACCTATACTAAAGGAACCAATAGCAATATATGTTATGTACACAAAAAACCTTATGTTTCATGTTCCCAAAGGATCTAAAAATCTCATAGAGCCTGGCAACATTCCTCTGACTTGTTGCATTGTGTCCTTATTCATCCAAACATTTAAGGGTGTTTTTCCATACGATTTCTATGTGTTTCCTGTACAAGACCTTTCCTGCATAAAAAAAAGATAAATGAGTCATTCTAAAATTATGTCATGACTGTGTATACAGTGAGAAATAGTAGTGACAGCTCCTGAAGTCTAGATCTGTCTTTAGTGTTCCTATTTCACTGATACATGTGAATCTGAAGCCAAGTCTAGATTCAAGGTGACTTAATGTACCATATCAAGAAGAGATGTTGTTGAAAATAATTTGACAAAATAATATTTAAAAGGTAAAGTATCTGTGCTGATAACCGGGGTTTTCCTGATTTGGCAACCAAAGATATTTTATACAACATGAAGTCTCCTGCTGACTTTAATGAGCTTTGGATCAGAGCCTAAAAAAGTTTGTTAAGCATGACTTCTGCAGTATAATAACAATTTAGCTGAATTTTTTTTTCTGGGTATAATCAGTCTAAATGCCTTGAGAATAAATGTTCACTACATATTGGAGTATGTTGCATTAAGTAATTTTTATACATCCTCATGTATATAACTTAAAATTCTAGAATTTTTTCAACAGTAGAAACAAAGAAATGGAAAAAGCACAACTGATTTATTTCTAATTACTTTTAAGAAAGAGAAAATGTCATTGTCCACCCTTATTGAATTGTTTTGTTGTATTTCTGTGAAATTGATAAATCTCCTTTAATGTGCCTCTTCAATAAATGTCACCTTCCAGAGCCTGAATATATTTTTTATTGTTTGCAATTGGATAGTATGAGATCCTACCAACATACTTACCCTTCCCTAAGGGATTGCTGCTGTAGGGGAAAACTGTATATAAAAGGAAATTTCCAAATCAGCAAAAGGTAAATTGTGTAGCTCACACGGTTAAAGGCATGATAAACCTGACCTGTCGTGTATTGATAACTGATGTCTGATACCTTAATTTTATCTTATTGCTCTAGATCAAGGACAAAGTGAATGATATTATTAATAAAGCCCTAATACTGAACATAGCAATACTAATTTTATGTAAAGTTTCTAACTAATGCAGAGTGCAATAAAAATGTCATGGAGATTAATGCTTCATGGAATTATCTAATGCTGGATAATAATTTATCTTCCAAAGTTGGCTCCAAAATAGATTCACACTGGCGTTTTCCAGGTGATGGTTTCTGTCCGTTTCTGCTAGCCACAAAAAGAGTTTTCACTCTTTTGCTGTGATACAGGTATGACATCAAAGACGACTACACCCTGCGCATTAAGAAAGCCATGAGCACAGATGAGGGAACCTACACCTGCATCGCCGAGAACCGAGTTGGGAAAGTGGAGGCCTCTGCTACGCTCACCGTGCGAGGTGAGTGCTCCTGCAGAGGCAGGGCCGTGTCCTACGTGGATAATTGCTTTCTGATGGGATGGGCCCCATCCTTCCCTGCCCTTGTTTGGGTTCCACACACCCTTTGCCACGGTGATTTCACCCACTGATTTACAGCGTGGGTGAAATTCTGGTCCTGTTATCGTGTGCGAAATTTTAATTGATTTCAGTGGGATGGGATCTCCCTGCAGTTAAAGTCCTGTCCCAGTGTGTTTTTATTGAAGAGAAGATGCATATATGCATAAGCAAGCACTACATAACTATGGGCATAGACATGAATATGTGAGCCATCAGCTCAGGCTATTAGTCACGTTTCTTTCTCTAAGAAGTATAATGAGTAGAGTAACTATATTTATTAATGACAAACATAATACAGATAATATTATTATGGGATTAGCTCTGCCATAATTAAGCTCTCTACCACTGCCCTTTATCCAAAAAATAAACCACAGCCAAAGGAAAGAGAAAATCCTAATTAAATTTTATAAGTATTACAAGGTAAAGACTAATTATTCTCGCCTAAAATATTTGTGGTCTCTAGTATCCATTCACTGTTTATGTGCTGATCTTTGATTTGGTAAGGAGGTTTTAAGGCTAGTGGAATAATGAATTGCCAAAATATCTTTCGTGAGAATACATATAGACATGCTAAATATTATGGGGAGAGAAAAAGTTTGTAAGCTAATATTTCTATTTGAGTAAATAGAATATAATAGTTATTACTTCATTCCAAAAGATAAGCAGCAATTTGGCACAATGGATATCAGGCAGACACTATTTCACAGTTTAGTGGTGCATGCTGACAGTTTTCAGTAGAGCTGTGAAAGGTTAATAAAAACATTTTTAGCTTTATCTGTCCTCCTCTTTTCATACACATTAAATCAAATGTTCAAAGTCTCAATGGATTGCTTTATTAGAACTGGGGTCAACTGACCCAAGAGGCCAGCTTCCATTTCCATCCATTTAATGCATGGACACAGTTCAGTTTAATTTGCTGAATTCAAAGGGAAAAAAAAAGCCACTGAGTGGCTTTGTAGGGGGAGAGATGTTAGTATGTAACAAAGAAAAGACAGCATTGTGATAATCTGTTGAAGTATTACCTCAGTGTTCACTTTAGACTGTAAGTGACAATATGGCTCTTCCCATTTTAAGTTGAAGAAATAGGTGTGTAAGAGATTGTTCTTCCCTTTTGTAATACGGGAAAATTAGTCACCACAGCCAACTCCCAGAAGCAGTCTCACTCTGTTCCTTTGTCACAGGCAGGATCAGAGTGTCCAGTAATTCTGGTAACTAATTCCCTGGCCTTTAAACACTCCTAGAACTGTGTCCACTGTGCACATTACTGGAGCAAGCCTTTTGGATTTGCTACCCTGACTTTTAATGTAAACAATAGCTAGAACCCAGCAAAAAAATCCTTTGAAATCACTGGAGCTTGAACCCAATGAAATTAAAGGGAAAAAAAGAAACTCAAGGAAATGTGTAATTTAATTGATTTTCCCTCAGTAAAAGCATGTTTTCATTATCTTGTGTATTTTTCCCCCTGGGTTTGTCATTTACAGTCAAATATACAATGTTTATTCAATAAAAACAAAGCCATGACGCTAGAAACATACTACATGTTCAGGGTATGACAGAAAACGAGAAAAACCAAGACATTCATTGGAGAAAGTCATTACTCTGAGTTTTGTGAAAACATAAGACTGGGAAATCTCCCATTGACTTTAAGGGAATGATGAACAATGGACTTCTTAATTAAAGAAAACTTTAATTCTGAATTGTTAATTAACAGTGTTGTCTGACACTGATTTTACCATGTCATGTAAAGGAGCAAAACCACTTAGCATTTCAAAATTTACCTTGAGCTTGTCTTGGACCTTACAGGTGTCATGTAGTTCCATCTGCACACCTGACAACACCATGTAATCCTTAGCTCCCACATTCACAGCTCCATCTTCCTAAACCAGAGGATGGGGATGCGGTCAGGAAAGTTGCATTACACTGTCACAAACAACAGTAGAATCAGAGTTGTGGCTCAGACTCCATGTTCTCTCTTGGAAAGATGTGTATCACTCTTACACCTCATCTTTGCAGAAGAAGGAATATGTCCATAATACTGGAAGCCAAAAAGTGCTCTAAGAGATGATGGGTGAGAATGGCAGCAGACTAGACATAGTTAAATGAAATGGTGACAGAGCCATGGAAAGGCTGAGAACTAAGAAGGCCCTCACAATCTCTGTTACCTCTGAATTTCCATGTCTTATAGTTGACTCTAGCCTGCCCATAAGCACACAGGGCTGGTAATCTTAAAAATAATAATAAAAAAAAAAAATCTACCTTTGCTCAGAAATGTGTAATTATGGCTGCTGATAAAATAAGGGAAGGTTTGCCTACACAGATGCAACCTGGAGTTGCTTTTATGTCCAAATTTTCAGCTCTTCTGAAAGAGATGTCTATATTTTATTAGCAGAGGGACTGACAGCTCTCTTCCCCAGCACAAGTATAATGAAGGGCTGCTCTATAACCAAGAAATCACTTGTTGCAGCAGCAACTTTCAATCTCTGTATCAGCCTGAAACAGTATTAACCTGTCAATCATTTAACAGCAATTTTTTTAGGAAGTAGAAGTTACCTAAGCAGTGATTTGGGAGGTTATGGGTTGAAGTCCCTGTGGCAATTTCAGCCCATTTGTTATATTTTCATCAGCACTGTCAGTGATGAAAAAGCACTGTGCTGTAAGCTTTCATGCCTATTATTGAATGAGAAAAACTGTCCTGGGCTTTGTCTAGCCCTTACTGCAGTACTGGCTGGTCATGCTTAAAATTCATTTGGTGTTTGACTCAGAAAGCAAATGCCTTGCATGACATTAGGCAGTGTGAGACTTAAATTGATGTGGTCATTGGGATCTAAAAGTTTGTGCTAATGCAATGCAATTTTTCTTTTATCAGGCATTAACAATGATACTTGATAATGGCATGCGAAGATAATAAAAATGTTTCTCAGAGAATGGTTCCAGTCAGCTTGTTCAGATGCTATGCTCAAGTAAATGGGATGATAGTGGCACAATAGCAGCAGTGAACATTTGACTTAGGCTTCCATTTGAGGGGTTAGCAATCATGGTAGTATCCATAGTGGAAAATAACATTACACGTCATGCATTCTGACAGATATTCTTTTCTTTTTTTAATTTCCTTTTTATGTTCTCACTACACCATTGTAATGTCAACAGCTCGCCCCGTTGGTAAGTAACCATCCTTCTATCCATTTTAGCATGGCTTCATGCAATGCTTCATCTTTCATTTGCAACAGCATTTCACTGGCTGGAATAAGCAGCCAGCGCTTAATAGTTGTACCTGTCTAACACCAGGCAAGTGGTTTTGTCTGCCAAAGTGCTATTTCCAAACGTTGTATTTCCTACTGTGTCGTGTGCGAGCACATTTGCCAAATCACCAAGCACCAGTCGGTGAAACGGGGTGGGTGTGCCACAGTCACTCATTTAGATGCTTTTATTGGTCTGGGTTTGGGCCTGGTGTAAAAGTGTTGACTTTGGTGAGCTTCTCCCAGGCCCTAAACAATCAGCTCATCCTGCTTTTCCTGCACAGCAGAGAAAGCACAGGCTTTGCATGTCCCGTCTTTCTTGTATCCTATCATTCAAAGAGTTCTGAAATGAAGAAGTCCTGATGCTGAAGAGGGGATGGAGTAGATTTCTGTGCTTGCTGAGGAAGTTCATCACTGGTTTCTACCCTTGGGTCATCTTGGAGTGCAGTTTGGAGTGCACTGTATAGGATGCAGGCTGTTTTGAATAACAAGTCATGAGGAAGACAACCTCTAGATTTTAAATCCCCACACAGAAAATTTTATTATTTCCTGTGCCTTCAAAATTCTGTAAATGCATAAAAATCTTACGGAGGATAATGGAAAATTTGCAACTGTCAGTAGCTGAAATTCACTTCTGGTGTTCAGAAATATTCCAAATGTACGATTCAATTTTCTTTCATGAATATTTACTCTGTGCCTACATGGATTTAGTTTAATGAGCTGCATTGCTCCTCTGATATTTGTCGTTTGTATTTAAATGTATCTTTTAGAATAATAACGTGCTAACTCTGATTTTTTTGGATTAGTGTAAAAAGTCAGTACCAGTGTTTATGGAGATTGATGAGCGGTTTGGTCTTTATTTACTTAGTCAAAACTTTGTTAGATATGTATTTGACTAAAGTTTTTGAGTTTGAATTCATCACAGTTCTTCACTGTTCTAAGTTTGGAGGAAGAAAGATTGGTGCAATTTAAAGATAAAATCCAGGATAGGCCTCTCTTTCCAGAACTAGGGTGATCCCATCTTACTAACTTGCTTGAACTAACATCCATGGAACCAAGCCAAATACCTCCCCAGTCACAGAATGGCTTATCCACGCCTGGAGAATTACCTCTGCAGAAGAGAAATTGTCCCTTCTCCATTTGGGATTTTGATAGCAAGCTTTAAACCCAAATCACTACTCTATTATTTTGGCATTAGGCTCGTTCTCAAGGAGTTAATTCCCAGGAGTTGCAGAAGTGTAAAACTGCAGTAAACTCGGGATAAAATGTTACTGTGCTTAGAAAATGTGGCATGAATTTAGTATGCTTCTTCATTTACTAAGAAATGACACAAGATTAAAAATATTTTTTTTTTTTTTTTTTTACTTTGCTGCCTCTTAAAAGACAGTCAAGGAAAAAAAATCATACAGTGGAGACTTTTTCAAGCTCTATGAAAACTACATAAAATAAATTACTGGAAATTCACCAGAAAATGATAGGTTTCAGTAGTTTTGATAGTGTCTCATTTCACAGTACTGATTCTTTTAAAAAGTTTTTCATGCCGTTAAGTCATCCCTGATTCCATCTCCAAAGCTTATATAGCAGGTCTTGGTCTCAGGTTACTTTATGTCCAGGTATATGATTGCATGATCATGCAATGGTCAATTCCACATATTCCCTGCCTAGGCTATTTTATTTTGTTGAAAGAGAACAGCTCTGACAAAGAATTTATTCTTCTACAGAATTTTTATTTAGGAAACTGAAATTAGAATGGTTGATCTTGAAATAATTCATATATGGGCATATGGTCCTTATCAAATTATTTAATTAGTGATTATCTTTGTGACTTGTCAAAGGATTGTTGAGTAAATAAGTCTAACCCTGAAGAGGTTTGACATAGAACTCCCATACAAGTGTATGTGGGGATTACTGTGTATTAGCAGATCAGAGTCAATCACTTTTATCTGATCCTGTACCTGTAGAAAGACAGTGATCATGTGTACTTATATTGGGTTTTTTGCCTAAATACCTGAAATAAAATTAATTTGTGCACTTCACTGCTCTATTTCATTCAAGACGATGCAAAGAAGGTGGCTACCCATCCTGGTTTTTTTAAAATTTTAAGTCCAACCAAAGTAACTTCCCTCTCCACCAAGAAACCCAAGTAGTCTTCTGTTAAAATTGTCATTTAGCAAGCACAGGGAGTCAAATCTTGTAGCATTTTTTTGTTCAGGAATTTAACTGGAATGCAGAGTAAAAAAAACCCTCTCTTTACCTAAAGGAAGCTAAAGAAAACCCTGCTTCATGTAATTAGTTCACAGCTTTCTAGGAGGATGACATTTTAACAGAAGTATATTTGTATATTTATGTGTATATTAAAGTGCAGGGGAGCACTTCAAAGTTTATATTTTTTGATGACACCAGAAAATTATCTAGATACTTCTATCTTCCATCACTGTCTCAAATTCAGAGCAGACATGTTTTGCCTTTATTAGGTTTTAAACAAGACAAACCAATTTTTTTTTCCAATGAAGAGTAGAGAAATATATTTTTAATGATTTAGACTTGTATTTCTTGTTGCAAGCAGAATAATTTTCATTTTCTAGTCAGTTTTTGCCCGTTTCAAATATTTGCACACTCTTAGGTATGGTATTTTTATTTTAATTTCAGCTTGAGTGGAAAATTCAGGAGTGGGATTACCAATGACCATGTTGTGTTCAAGCACTTATTAACAAATGGTTCATACTACACAGATAAAATGAGGTATGGTGCTGCCTGAGGTGGGTGGCAGCTGGTGAATTTAAAAGCTCTGTGCCAGATTACTCATCATGTTTGAATTTGCTGCTAGGAATAAATGTGTTGCCTCTTTCTAAAATAGATTATTTATAACCTTTTGAAAAGATTCCTGACAGGATTTACAACAGATGGGTTTAAGAAACAAGATATTTATCCCTATTTAGACCATTTCTATAGTTAGTTCACTGAATAGGTAGATTATTCAGATAAGCAAGTTAGAATTTTCTCATTTTTTTCTGCTGTATTTCATATGGCAGTTGGGCAGGATCATAGCTGCTGGAAGAAGCACAATAATTGGGAAGAGCCCAAAAGTTTCAATAACGCTGACCCTCTTCTCAAAGACAGTTGCTGTACTGCTTTGAGATGGGGGACCTTCAAATGCCATATTTATGAAGATCTGTCTGATGTCCCAGTTACTTTTTATTAATAATACAAAAAGTCATTCAGATGACAGAGTACTACTCAGTTTGCAAATTAATTTCAACTAAGTCCAAGTGAAAATAGAGTTCTTTCCATGTCAGTTGCTTTGCAGTAAGTCAAGTTTACTTAGTTTTTTGTCATGTGCTGTGGCTCATCTTCCCAAAAAGAAAAGATTTGCAGCAAATACCTGGATACTTTTGTCACCAGGATAGAAGTGAAGTATTTGAATTTAGCTAAGGGAATAAAGGGAGACCAAGTGCAAAAACTGAACTTCTCTGTCATGATGGTGAACAGACAGCTAAGATACCGGCCATGAATTTTCCAAATTTCCTGTTGGTTAAATGCAGTCTATTGGCATTTAAGTGCAATATGACTGTATGATGCATTTCAATCTGCACTGGGAAGTTTTCATTACATAAATCAGCCTGGCATGACTTAATGGTCTGTTAAGAGTGGTGCAGAATGAAAAACAATAGAAAGGGCTGTATTTTATAGAAGGCTGTATTTGGTTTTGTGATATTGCTCAGATGGTTCCGATTGGCAAGTGAGAAAGAATTCTCTTTGTTCTTCTTTATTCTGACTCTTGCAGAGAAAGTCTATATACAGTGAATGCCTTTATTTTTATTACATTCATAAACAAACCACTTTCACTTGGGACACTGAGGATTTATAAAATATCAGTAATGTGGATCGGTGTGTGATGGGAGAGATAAGATGGTGCTTGGTGCTACAATGCCCTCTTTCAGTGGCTGAAATCTCAAATTTATCTCAAAATGTGCTATCTTGCCTGTCTGGTACCACTTACAGAAATTTTCAGGAGAAGGTAAATACAACAGTGGACATTGGGTCTTTTGAACTTGTTAAATTAAAGAGTAGGACATGATTATTTTTCAAAAAGTCAGAAATTCTTCAGATTTAAAGATAAAAGGTTGCTGTAGAATGAAATTCTGATTGCTTCGTATACCAGTAAGAGATTAAAATATGGAGCTGTCTTGTTACATTTTTTTGTAGTCTGTAAATGCCACTCTAAAAATCTTGAAGTCCTTAGCATATCTACTTTGCCTACAGTGCAAAGGAAGTACAGGAAGCTATCAAGAGTCCCATTATTTTAAATTTCTTTCAATTGCTGAGCTCTAGCTTGGGGAAGTTTCAAGAAGTTTAATGCATAACTTTTATTTTTTAACTTTCTAAATTTCTCAAAGCATGTTGAAATCAGTGGGAATTGTTTTCCTTTTTCTTTAGCTTCTGAGTTCTGAGTTGATCCCTAAGTCTTTGAAGATTAGTGTATAAAAAAGCCTGTTGATGTGCTGCTCTCCCCAAGATTTTCCCTTCCTTTCAGTAAAAGGAGTAATTGGTTACCTTTCCTCCAAGAGGAACGTGGAAATCAATACATTAATCTATTCACTTTCCCCTTTACTGTCTTTGCTCATATTGCTGCCAGCCAATTTGCAGCTTGGATGTGATCTCAGTGTTAGTCAACAGCAAAACTACAGTGTGTCCTGTTCCTTAAATGTTAACATTGTCAGTCAGAATAAATAGTCATTTTTCTTCCTCTCTCCTTTTTCTCTCTTCGTTTTACAGTGCCCCAAATTGACTAGAGTATCTCCTCGCAGGCTTTATTCGCAAGGGTAAACAAACCAGGAATTTTTCACCTTTCTCACTATAGATGTAGCCTGAGAGCCCATCTGGGCTCTTTAGCCTTCTCATCATCTCCTTAGCTCTTCTCTG